TCGTGTTCAACAGACTGGAATTGAATGGGCATAAAAGACGCTTAACATGGGAAGCCATGCCGCGTTCTATTCACGAAGGTGTTTCATCCGCTATTTTAAATTCAGACTGCCTTGTATTTGACACTTCGATCGCGCAATTATTTGCCGATAATGGAAATCTAGGAATTAATGTTACAATTTCTATGGCATGAGGAAAGCTGGAAAAAGCAGTGTAAAATCTTCTAAACTGTTGATTTTATTTCAGTCTTTGTGTACTGAAGGTTGCCGTTTATGTACATACAGTATTTTTTTTTCTTTTTTTTTTTACGTTACCACAGATAAAGATTAGCAATATGGATGTTAGGAAATGTTTGGAATGTGTTGTGATGAAAAGCAATGATCGCAACAATGCTCAGTTACAGAACCTGTCTCTAGAAGCTTTAAAGTGTACTTGTATGTGATATTGATATTACACATAGAAATAATAAATAATCTTTCAGCATATTTATGTTGACTTTAAAGCTTTGCACTGAGTATAACATCAGTTCCAAAATGTACCTGACATCTATTGCACATTGTTATCATGTTCTTTTAGTCACTTCTTACTGAGCCAATTTTTGTGAAAACAATTTCAATTTTGTGATGCTTTTCAATGTAAACATCGTTCTTTATAGAAATACCGATATATTTTATAGAAAAAAATATACTTTTCATCGCGAGATCAATTATGATCTGCTGATATACAGTATGGCATTGAAAGCAAAAATTGAAAGCACATACCTGAAGAAATCCTTCATACGTAATCGTGATTGAATTGATTGTATCAAGCATACATCACTATGCTTATTTATTTTTCACTTAGAAATTTCGTGTGCTCGCATATTTATTGTAACCTTTTAACATAGACTTTGTCTATAATTGTAATTAAACAACCAATTCTTTTTTAATAAATTTATTTTTCTTTTAATTAAAATATTACTATTAAGAGATTAGAGTTTGTGACCATACGAGAAATCATATCAAATCAAAAGTTAGTTATAAGTTTGCAAATATGCTGCTGAGAATTTACAGATGGAATTACGATTAACTTCTTATAAGAAATTTTTTAACTCATAAATTATTATTCGTGACGAGCATTACAATGATTGATAATATTATTGTGTATTTTAATTTTATGAAGAAAAAGAATTCGGGTATATTTATCAGCAATATATACGGGAACACGAAAGTAGTTGGTATACGATAAACAAAAGCAAAATAATAGTAAAATTGCGCAATTTCATCAATTTTTTACCGAAATGAACAAATTTGTACAAGAAGAAGAATTACACTTTCAGGAATATATAGTTCCATCAAATTGTGGCATAGTAGTTTCGTAAATAATAAGTGACACTGTATATAATCTCTAAATTATCTTCCGTATAAATCTTTCTAGTGTCGTGTATTAAATTCGACGACTAAGAATGTAATCTTCAAACATTGATTTCGAAGGAATTTATGAGAATTTAGCGATGTAAAAAGTCACTAAACTGAAATTCAATTTAGTATGATAATTATACGGTTAAACAAAGTTGATTAATATTGAAGAGAATGAAAATTAAAATAGCGTGAGCTTGACCCTAATCAAATTTGAGATTCTCAGGTCAAAACAGAATAGAGTCAGAAAAGGAGTCGTTCTTACGTCACCACGAGTCACATATAAATTGCTTGAACATTCCAGACGTAGGTGAAAAGTTAATGTAAATAGAAGAAATTTTACATGTGTGATAAAATTATTGATTGGTAATGTAAATTATTATGTAAACATGCATATGTGCGAAGTTCAAAGGAATATGGGAACCAATTGCATGTTATGCATATGTATAAGTATATATAAATATATCAAGGTGCATAATATATATATAAATATATAAAAGTGTATTTATATATATGTATATATATGCGTATTAAACAGTTACTTTTAAGTTTATGTAAGTGTACTAAATGTAAAAATTTCATTTCAATGGTTTTGAAGTTCAGCAATTTTGGCGGTTACTGAAAAAGACATTCGAACCTAACTAACTCACGTTAATTGTTGTACTATCAAACGGTATAAGAATTCTCCTACTCCCTGTCCCCATATAGTTGTAATGCATCGATGGAACCGCATATTTTGCACATTTAGACGTTATTAAAAACATCTGTTGGACAGCTATTACATTAAAAGGCTTGATCATAGAACTAGGATGAAATTGATTGGATAAAATATTACTGGAAAACAAAGTACTTTGATTATTAATCGTACGATCTTATTGAATCGTCAGTAACCATCGTTCCGAGTACTGAAGTGGGAATTATCGTTAAACGGATGATATATCTCTAAGATGTATATACATATAATTTAACAATATTATTTAGATATTTAGCTATAAAATCTAAAATTCACGACATAAGGTTTAATTAATTATAGCAATTTATTCTTACAGATAATGACGGTATATAAATATTTGTACCAATACAATCACTAAAAAATAGTTAATTCACTTCTTGATTGCATACGTTTTGCAAAATATTGTAAAAGTATCGAGAGTTAAATTCTCGAACAAAGTATTCTCTATAAATATCAAACATTAGTTAATAGTGAAATTTTGTACAAAGATTTAATAATTTTCATTGCAGTATGAAAAGAAGAAAAAAAAATGTAAAACATTACGTTAAAGATCGAATTGCGCAATATTAGGCACGTACATTACCTTATAATCTGTAATTTGTTTCTACATACGCAATTTTTATGGATTACGATTATTTTTATTGCAATCGAGGGATAAAATTTCTACACGTATTTCTGTAATTTTAATTGAGTAATTTATTCTCGTATTTACGTATAAAGTTATAAATGAATACTTTGATATCGGTAGTATTAAATATAACACTACAAATCCTGTTCCTAAACGTCGAATAAATTTGTTATTACATTAATGTCGTGCGTGAAAAGTTCAATCAAGATACCTCTCCCATATTTGTATTATTTATATAAATTACATAATTTGCCGCGTATACAGCAGTTTGCTCGAAAGAAGTAAAGATTAATTAAAATTAAAAGTAATTAAGATTAGGACGTTCTTTCGAACTTACGAAGGATATTGCAAGCTTTAATTCTTTTATAATAAAGAGAATAATTTGTGGCTATGTAAATAATAAACATACACGTGTGTTGTGAAAATCAGTGCAGTGCCATCTAGGAACAATGGAGAAATATCGTCGGGACAAATTGCTCTCGAATTCAGGGTTTGAATTCTTCTCTATGTCCGACTTAGATCGTGCTTGCGCGAATCTACTTGTTGCTGGGAAAGCAGGTCTCGTGGTCAGCATTTTTCCCCAAAGTTTTCTCCAGTGATTATTACAGTTTTAAGAAGTCGTCACGTCGCACACGGCGGAAATATGGCACACTACCACAAACCGGAATCGAAAACCATTCAAGAGTTGAAAGACATTGCAACAAAGTTGAGAATTCACTCGATCAGTGCCACACAAGCCAGTAAATCCGGGTATGTGTGATATACTTTATAATAGCAGTGTCATTAATAAATTGTTCGTCGAATGTCTCTCTTACATCTCAATGGAAATCAACGTGCGGTTATTACCTGTTCGATCACCTTCTAGATCAAGATTTGACAATGTTCGAACACTGGTAGAATCGCGCGCGAAGATTATCCCGATAAAAATGTTATGAAAAGAGAGTGTTTGCTTTAGAATCAATTATCTAATCTCGCGTTGTACGTGCAACAGTTTTTCCTAGAATCACCTCCCAGCATTTATTCAATTTATTTTCACACGCATCCCCGAGTTATCGATGTATGTATTTGTAATGTCGTGTCATTTTTTGTATCGTATATCTTATTACATCACGTTCTACGCGGTTCAAGTAGTTTTATAATTTCATTTCGTATTCATGCGATATTTAATACATAGAATTGACGTCTGTGCTGGAGCAAAAAATGTGAGGTGAGATTTTATTTTTAACGAGTCCCGATCAAAGTGGTATCAGACATTGAAGAAACTTTGGAAACTTTGAAATATAAGAAAGGAACAAACCTACAAGTACAAGTACATATCGTGTTAATTATTATTTCGTATCAATCGTACAAATCACATCCTTATGTATATCAATAATTTGACGAAAATTGTCGCGTGATCGACATTGTAAAAAAAAGTTCAGTTTTTAAAAAAGATAGTACATGTTTACTTGTGCTTCTTTTTGTACAATTTGGCAATCGCATTAACACGTGCCACAATACCAAAATGCACGCTACGAATCAGTTACGTAACGAACGTACGATAATGCTGAATAATCAAGAGTTGAAAACTATGCATGTCATTAAAAATTTCTTATCTTCGAATAGAAGTAGAAATAACTTCTCAATTGTTTATTATTCGCTTTTTCGCGGCAACTACAACTTTCGTAACCAAGTTCGTGAAACTTAAATTATTAAAACTTTTGTTCGCTACGTTTATCATTGATAAACTTGCGTTTGCATTTATATTATCATCAACAAATCTTTCGGATCGTCACAGTTGTAAAATAATTTTCATTAAATTATTTTATCCTGATTTTACAAATTTTTTTTCACATGTTATAATTTCATTTGAAGCAATAATGGTAATTGACACCGTGTTAGAGTTTACTGAAGAAACGCATCGATAAAAAGTGTGCTCGTTACAAACAAGATGCTCTTGGCGTTCGTGTATTAGTCGTAGCGATATATGGAGTTCCAAAACTGGTTCATGTCCACGAAACGTGAAACGTTGATTTTGAAATCGACGATAGTTTGGAGGAAGGTAGGGAGCTCCAGCGCGCAGTCACTCGTCTCGCGAACTATCGTACAATCGTGTCCATTAGTCGCTATCGAACGGTCACCGAGAGACGACTTTCTAAATTCCCTGCGATTCAAAGTTTAAAAATGGTGCGTGACACGAACATGGAGAAACTCCAGGATCTTGCAACCAGGCTCCGCATTGAGAGTATCCAGGCAACCGAGGCATCGAAAAGCGGGTATGAGTGAAGGAACTTGCCTTGAAAATTTTCACGTCTCCTCGTCGAGATTACAACGTACCTTCCTCGCTCGTCAAATGTAGACTCGGCACGTTCGGTTTTTTTTTGTTAATTACGTTTCAACATTTTCTTCGTAATCGTGCCCGATATGATTGCGTGTAAGAGAAGTAAATCGATGGATCGTCGTATTACGAAAATTTTCGTGACGATTATTTCGCATAATTATTCATTTTATTTAAAAAATAAATATCTGAATGTTTGAATATTTGCAAGCACTTCTTGTTTAGCATGCCGTTGGACAGTAATTGCACGGGCAAAATGAAACAAAATTATTAAATAAAGTTTGGAATTCAGAAATATTCGGCAAACTCATGCTGTAAAATGATACAGAACACAGAAAGATACAAATATAGAAGATAATATATTAACTCATTAACTATATTAACTGCTCGAAAGTTTTATATTACTGCTAATATTAGTCGTAATTCGAGGAATTAAACGTTGTTGATAAATTAATTTTAATATAAATCTAATATAAAATTAATTTAAAATAAATTTAAATTAATAAATTTAATAATAAATAATAAATTTAATAATAAATAATAAATTTAATATATAATTAATTTTAATATAAATATAAATAATAAATATAAAATTAATTTTAATACAAAAAATATAAAAGAAAAGGAGAGATATTAATAATATTAAAAATATAATTAATTAATTATATTAAAAATATAATAAGAAAAGGAGAGAAATTTATTATTAGCTATATAGTTAATGATTGTTGCTTTTTTTACATACATAATGATCGTTACATAATTTCGATCGTATGATCGAGATTGATGACCTTTATGACCTTCGAAGATAACAGTTCACGATTATCCAACTTATTATAATATATATTTGTAGAATTTTAATATTTTAAATAATAATAATAATAATACTCGATGTATTCAATTATTTTCTCGTTAATACTAAAATTATTTAATTTTGTGCCCATTTTATTTTTTTTCTTTTTAATATTATTTAGACATCCAACATCATGTTCTTCGATGGCGGAAATCATGTCTGTCTTATTTTTTCACACGATGCGTTATAAAGTATCGGCACCACGTGATCCAAGTAATGATAGATTTGTGCTGAGCAAAGGTCACGCAGCACCTATTCTTTACGCAGGTAAATGTAATTTAAATTTATTTGCATTAATTGATTATTCTATGAAGTCAAGTTCCAATCGCATATAATACGATTCATATAATTACAGCATGGGCAGAAGCAGGACTTTTCCCGGCGACTGAATTGTTAAATTTAAGGAAAATTGACAGCGATTTGGAAGGACATCCCACTCCAAGGCTTAACTTTGTCGATGTGGGAACTGGTTCTTTGGGGCAAGGTCTTTCAGTTTCTGCTGGAATGGCTTACGTAGGAAAATATTTTGATAAGGCTAATTATCGGTGCGTTATCGTTCAAATAATTATCTTTTACTATCTGTTTTAAATTATTTTAATATATATATTTATCTTAATATTTATGCAGCGTGTACTGTCTGATCGGTGATGGAGAAGCAGCTGAAGGCTCAATATGGGAAGCACTTCACTTTGCTTCTTATTATAAGCTAGATAATCTTTGCGCTATTTTCGATATCAATCGTTTGGGACAAAGTGAACCGACATCTCTTCAGCACAATATGGAAGTCTACCGCAAAAGACTTGAAGCTTTTGGTTTCAATGCATTGGTGGTTGATGGTCACGATGTAGAAGAATTGGCCAAGGTCTGTATACGAGATAGAGAAATACATGTTGATAGAAATTAATTGCTAATAAGAAAAATTCAAAGTAACGTATTTTATTTGTCAGGCTTTCCACGAAGCACAAAGTACAAAAGGACGGCCTACTGCTATTCTAGCAAAGACGTTTAAGGGAAAATATTTCCCCAACATCGAAGATCTTGAAAATTGGCACGGAAAGCCACTTGGCAACAAAGCAAATGAAGTCATTCAAGTAAAGATTGCAATTCTTTCTCCATAATGCAAATAATTTTATATCTTGGATTAATAAATCGTTCGATTGCAGCATTTGACTGGAATGTTGAAAAATTCTGGTCCTTTGGGGTTGCATCCCCAAAAACCATTGGTCGATGATGTTCCGGCTGTAGATCTTAATAACATTAAATTAGCATCACCTCCGAATTATAAACTGGGAGAACAAGTTGCTACCAGATTGGCTTATGGTACTGCTTTGGCCAAGGTTTGTATTCTTTTTTTTTTTCAGTTAAGCGAGCACAATACATTTGTTATCATCCGTCAGCTACGTTTTTTGTTACATTTTTTCATTTAGCTGGCAAAGAACAACAATCGTGTCATCGCTCTAGACGGAGACACGAAGAATTCCACGTATGCGGAGAAAATCAAAACGGTCGACCCAACTAGATTCATTGAATGCTTCATTGCCGAGCAGAATGTTGTAGGAGTAGCAATTGGTGCAACATGTAGGGACAGGACGGTCGCATTTGTATCTGCGTTTGCTACTTTCTTCACTCGTGCCTTTGATCAGGTAAGGCATGAAAATGCGTATGGGAAAAATGAGCGTGTCGCTTGACGTCATTTTTAATTTAATAGATTCGTATGGGTGCTATTTCACAAACGAATGTCAATTTCGTTGGTTCTCATTGCGGTGTTTCGATTGGAGAGGACGGCCCTTCGCAAATGGGTCTGGAAGATATAGCCATGTTCCGTACAGTTCCTGGCTCTACCGTTTTTTATCCATCCGATGCCGTTTCTGCGGAACGTGCCATCGAATTAGCAGCGAATACAAAGGGTATTTGCTTTATACGCACGTCGCGTCCTGCTACGGCGGTTATATATAAAAATGAAGAGCCTTTTGTCATCGGCAAAGGCAAAGTGGTCAGATCTTCCCCGAAAGATCAAATTCTCGTAGTTGGAGCTGGCGTGACTCTGTACGAAGCACTTAAAGCTGCCGACGAATTGTCTAAAGTAGGAGTAAATGTTCGAGTGATCGATCCATTTACGATTAAACCATTGGATGCTCAATTGATCGTAAAGAATGCTAAAGAAGTTGGAGGAAGAATCGTTACCGTGGAAGATCATTACCCGGAAGGTGGTCTAGGGGAAGCCGTTACTTCGGCAGTTGCCTTGGAAAGAAATATCGTAGTTAAAAAACTAGCTGTTACCGAAGTGCCACGTTCCGGTCCTTCAAACGCGTTATTGGATAAATATGGAATTAGCGCAAACAAAATCGTTGCTGCAGTTCAAGAAGTATTGAAATTGTAATCGTAAAGATTAGATAAAGGTACCGGTATCGTTCGTTCTGATGTCAAATCAACTGCCATATCAAAATGTGAAGCTACATTATATTTTTACAAATATCAGAGATACAGTGCATTCCATTTTTGAGCATTTACCGCGTACAAAACGTCGAAAATTTTGCTCGTGTCAATGTACCAAGAGAATTTGGCACAAAAAAGATTGTCCTTTGTACATATCTGTTTTAAGAGAAGAATATTATACTTGAGAATTGTGTCAAATTTTATATATCTAAAAGATATAATTTTATGCGAAGATTTGATACATATATAATGATAGATTAAGGGGTGTTGCTATTTTGAAACTATTGTTCTACGCGCAAGCAATTTTTGATTAACTTTTTCGATACCTACTACCTCAAACGCACAATCTTTCGATGTTAAATATTATATTAAATACAAATAAAAATTTTATGAAAACATAAATGTGTGTTCATAAATACGTGTGTTCGTTGTATGTAATTTGTACTCATATGTGCACACAGTAAACGTAAAAATTACGCATTTGGTACGTTCGAGAGGGAATATCGAACGAGGGAGATAATTTAAAAAATGGCGCGCAAATTACGGAAGAAGGAAGCTTCAATTGGAAGAAACTAGAAGTGGGAAGATTCTAAAGTAGAAAAATCCCTAGATGATGATCCCGGTTACAGTAAGAACGGAGTTGCGATTGGTCGAGAAACCGTGCAAAGGTTATAGGGGGAAACGAATAAAGAGGAAAATAACAAACGAGAGGAGACAGCAGCGCCACAATTCCCCGTTAAACAAGAAACATCAACCATTGCCTGTTCTCCGGTTGTATGTGGATTGCCGTTCGCTGTCCAAATATCCAGGCTAGTACGGTCAAATTGCACGTGTGTGTGTGTGCGCGCTAGTGTCTCCCTCGCTCTTGATTTTCGCTGTGTCGGGCACACGTAGTAAAAGAGTGCTGCGTGTACGTAGGTGTGCGGCGGCCACGTGTATACATGTGTTGGAGATATACACGCGTGTGCGTTTCCCGTTCCGCGATTCGCGTATCCCGAAAAGATGGCCGCCATGAAAGCGTACGGTTGTGATGTTGACGTCGTTCATAGCAAGGCCGCGTCACGTCCTCGAAAAGCGTGAAAAGAAGGTGATCATTCGAATGCTTCCGCGACCCTCGTGGTGCGCTCGTACGAGAACGCGACACAACGAGAAGATATCCGAGAATTTGAAACGCGAGCGTGGTATTTGCTGGAACCCTCTCGCAGTGTTTGACGAAAACGACGAGCCGAGGAGAGGCGAAAGAAGAGAGGGAGGACGAACGAGGAACGTGCCCAGCAAGAGGTTGAAGGGAATCGTATGTGACAGAGAGAGGAGCGGACGAGCAGCCTGCCGGAGAGCGGAAGTAAGAAGGAAGGAGAGAAGAAAAGTGGAGAAACGCGTGGAGAATACGGGAGCAGGGTGATACACGGAAGTGAGTGTATGATAGCTAGAGAATCGCGGGTGGTGTGTGGTGTCGCAGGTGAAACAAATGCGTGCGCGTCATACGCGAACAAGTCTCTCTTTTGCCAACGATATCCCGATCACCTGTTTCTCGCATTTCCTTTCGGCTGCGTTTTATCTGTGACTCGAAACTTCGTGTCAACGAGGGACGGCCATATTAATCCGTAGCCCCCGCCGTCACACACATAGTATCCCAACAGTCTCAACTCCTCGAGGTGGTGGTCTCTAGTTTTACGATATTCGCTACATTTTTAGTGCGTATCTCGTGTGTTGCGACCAATCTTTTCTTAAACCCTGTTGTGTCGTATCGTACCGTATTGTATCATATAGTATCGTGTCCTATCGTGTCGTGTCGTGTCGTGTCGTGTCGTGTCGTTTAGTATCGTGTCGTGTCGTGTCGTGTCATATCGTGTTGTACCGTGCCGCGCCGTGTCGTGCCGTGCCGTGCTGTGCCGTGCTGTGCTGTACCGTGCCGTGCCGTGCCGTGCCGTGCCGTG